CCCAAACCAGCCCCAAACACCCACCACATGCAAACCCGCTCCAAAGCCGGTGTCTTCTGCCCCAAACAAATCCTCAATCTTAACACATCTGCCCCCATTTCCCCATTGCCCCCAACCTACTGTAGTGCACTAAAAGATCCAAACTGGCATGCTGCTATGTGTGATGAGTATAATGCTTTGATAAAGAACGAAACATGGGAATTAGTACCCCCCTCCCCCTCTCAAAACCTTATCACCGGTAAATAGCTTTTTCGATACAAATTTGGCCCCTCAGGTGAGTTATCCAGGTACAAGGCCCGTTGGGTGGTTCGCGGTTACAATCAACGTTTTGGCGTTGACTATGACGAGACTTTTAGCCCCGTTGTCAAGCCTTCCACTGTCCGTATTGTCCTCAGCCTTGCTCTGTCTCGCGGATGGCCCATTCATCAACTTGATGTCAAAAATGCGTTCCTTCATGGTCAGCTACAGGAGGCAGTTTATGCCAGCCAGCCTTTCGGGTTTCAGGATCCCACTCGCCCTCACTATGTTTGCAAACTCAAGAAGGCTCTCTATGGCCTTAAGCAAGCCCCCCGCTCTTGGTTTCACAGTTTTGCAGGTTTCATACAGACTACTGGCTTCCGAGGATGTAAGGCCGACACTTCCCTCTTCATCCTCTCTCAGCCCATGGGCACGGCCTACCTGCTTCTATATGTTGATGACATTGTACTGACGGCATCCTCCGCTACACTTCTCCAGAGTCTCATTCAACAGCTTAAGGCTGAATTCTCCATGACAGACATGGGCGACCTGCATTTTTTCCTCGGGATCAATGTGCATCGCACTGCCACTGGCCTCTTACTCCACCAGACTCAGTTTGCCCACGACATTCTTGAGCGGGCAGGGATGGTCTCCTGCCGCTCCATCTCTACTCCAGTGGACACGAAGGCAAAACTATCTACCACAGCTGGTTCGGCCCTCTATCGTTGGCGCGCTGCAGTATCTTACATTCACTCGTCCTGACATCACATATGCTGTTCAGCAGCTCTTCTTACATCTTCATGCTCCACGTGATGTTCATCTTACTGCCATGAAGCGCGTTCTACGCTACCTCAGTGGCACCGCCACCCACGGGATCCAGTTGACACGTTCAGCCACAGACTACCTACAGGCTTATTCTGATGCAGATTGGGCTGGCTGTCCCGACACTCGACGTTCCACATCGGGGGTTACTGTGTCTTCCTTGGTGATAATCTCGTTTCCTGGTCATCCAAACGCTAGGCCACCACCTCTCGTTCCAGTGCTGAAGCTGAATATCGGGCAGTTGCCAATGCCGTAACAGAGACCTGCTGGATCCGGAACCTTCTGCTTGAACTACAACAACCACTTCGTCGCGCCACAATCGTTTTCTGTGACAATGTCAGTGCTGTGTACCTATCATCAAATCTGGGGCAACATCAGCGCACCAAGCACGTCGAGGTTGATATACACTTTGTACGCGATAAAGTGGCGCTTGGTCAGATCAAAGTTCTCCATGTTCCTTCATCTTCTCAGTTTGCCGACATCTTCACGAAAGGACTGCCCTCCCTCTTATTTCTTGACTTCAGAGAGAGCTTGGGTATCCGACCCCCAGCGCATCCGACGTAGCCGGGAGCATGTTAAATATATAAAATATATTTAATATTATTGTATTATGATTTGTTTCCATAGTTGTATAGTTTCCTAGAATATCTCTCCTACATTAACTAGGATTAAGACTTTGTATATATATACATGTATTCCTCTCATAATAAATCAAGGAAAATTCCTCTTCTTCATAAAACATAATTACTTTCTCACTATAACTAGGATCATATATTTTTATTTTCCAATGTAAGACTATCGGTCATTATTCATTAGTCATTATTCTAATAAATGTCCATCAATACTGGACATTATTTCTCCCCATAGACATTATTAAGTCCTATTTGAGAATAAAAAGTTTATGTCCTACATTGAAAAATGACTTATGTTTTAGTCTTATTTAATACAAAAATCATATGTCAAAGCTAAGCCGGGTAAGGTGAAAATGAGGTACCAAACGCATATTCGTACTAGCTCCGTTCAAGAAAAAAATTCCAAAAAGTCAGCGCCGCGTCACTTTCCTTTCAGGATTTGGTCTAGATTCATCATGAATCTAATTATTTGTGTAGCTAACAAGCACACTGTAGGATCTCAGGCGCTACCAACAACTCTTTTAAAACTAATTGGTGTTAGAAGAAGCGCAAATTCTAATTTTATTGTACATTTAGCAATTAGTATACACAAGCACCCACAATATTGGATTATGACTTGGCCACAAGCGCCCACAATATTAGTATACACAAGCACGAGACAATTAATGCACGCATGACCAACAATCTCCCCCTCAGCAATTGTTCTTGCCGGTAATCGAACTTGTGGCCTTGGCTCTGATACTTGTAGGTCCTCAGACGCTACCAACTAAATATTCTAAAACTAAATGGTGTTTCCCTAACGTTATAGTTCATTCAGCACACAAAAAAACCCACGACATTAGATTATGACTTGGCCCACATAGCCTCCGGCACGGGACATTTGATTCACGCATGGTAACACTTGTAAAAACTCAAGCGCTACAACCTCTTCTAAAACTAATTGATGTTAGAAAAAGTGCATACTACTCTACCCTTATATTGCATTCAGCACATACAAGGGCTCAAGATATTCGATTGTAACTTGGTCTACATAGCCTCTGCGACGGAACAATTGTTGCACAGACGCTACCAACTAAATATTCTAAAACAAAATGGTGTTTCCCTAATGTTATAGTTCATTTAACACACACAAAAACCCACGACATTAGATTATGACTTAGCCCACATATCCTCCGCCACGGAACAATCGATCCACACATGGTAAACACTTGTAAGAACTCAAGTGCTACCAACGCTTCTAAAACGAATTGTTATTAGAAAAAATGCATACTACCCTAGCCTTATAGTGCATTCAGCACATACAAGCGCTCAAGATATTCAGTTGAAACTTGGCCTACGTAGCCTCTGCGACGGGACAATTGTTGCTCCCACTTTGAATGAAACTCGTGACCTTGTATCCGAAACCACTTGTAGGACCTCAAACACTACCAACTCTTCTAAACCAATTGATGTTAGAAGAAGTGCAAACCTTAGCCTTGTAGTGCACTAAACACACACAAGCGCTCATGACATTTGATAACGACTTAGCCCACATAGCCTCTCCCATGTGACAATTGATGCACACATGACCAACACGCACTACACGCTTAACAATGACGTCGGGTGGAAAATATCTAACATTCAATTAAACATAAGTGAACTCACTAATCCATAGCCATCACATGATATCATTCACATTAGTCACACCATAGCTAACACCACATACAATTCATAATAATATTCATGGATTCAAACAATAAATATCGAGTTCTCATTATTTTATTCCTCAGATTTATATCCAACTCAAGTTCATAACAAAACTTAAGAATCAGGACCTTCTCCTTCCAAACGAAGGTCACACTCAAACTAACGAAGGGGTTCCTCGTCACGTGGGTGGAATCCATGTCCCCACTAATCAATTTAGCTCAATCTTAGAATTCTTCTGGGTAGATTAGTTTATTCGTTCTGATTTTACTCATACAACATAAATGAAACCATGAGCTTTGGATAATACAAACATAATCATGTAAGAACTCATTCACAAACAGCGGCATAGTGTTGGGTGTAAACACCCACACTTACCCGCATGCAACATACAAAGTCTCAAACTATATCCTCGACGCGAAACACATTTGTCATCGTTCATGTCTGTATCCCGATACTTGTCACGGTACCTATGTACTGCCAAACAGTATCAGGGTATCGTTAACTAGTACCTAAGTACAAGGAGTGCTAGAGACTCTCTAGTGACTGGTAGAGTATTCTTCTGTGATGGTAGCACGATACAAGTAGGCAGTACCTACTTTCCATCTGACATGAGGACTCACATGGTGCATCGCACTCAAGTAAAAATATAGCCAAATTCCAATAATAAATTCACAAATTGAATCACAAACATTGACATTAACTGATTTCTAACATCATAAGGAATCATGAACATAAAAACCACGCATGATCATGCGTTAAAACACCTTTTCATTTAAACTATGGTCACTGAAGGGTTTGACTGCGGCGATGCGGCGTCCTCTTCTCTTCTTTTTCTTCTCCTCCGTCTTTCTTTCCTTTGCCGCTGAGAGAGAGAGAGAGAGAGAGAGGACGGGATACTTATCACGGTCGGCTGCTGTAACGGCGTCGTTTGCTTACTCTACAATCTCCACAGCGGTTCCGAATCCATATACCTTTGGAACCCTTGTATTCAGAAGCTTATGACCTTGCACCCTGCTGCAATTATTAGACCAAGGTGCTCCTCCGTACTAGGGTTTGGTGTTGATCCAGAGGGTGGTCTCAAGGTTGTGCATGAAAGGGGGAAAGGATGGATTCGGACTGTGTGTGATTATGTTGAGATTTATTCACTTGGCACGGGAACGTGGAGAAGGATATCTGTTGTTGGGGTGAATCCCTGTATGATCATTTTAGTTCAGTTGTCCATGGAGCAGTGCGCATTGGATTGGGTCCAAATTGATGGACGACAATGCGAGACAGTACTGTATAATTGTGTTCTCCAAATTCAGACTTGATTGCCTTGTTGGATTTGGTTCAGCCATCCCTACACAACGATATATAGTTTTTATAATAAATTGACAAATATTCATAATCAATCCCGGGCCCATCTTAATAATTAATTATTCTCAATCCATTAATTCTGATAGACCGGGTTTCAGAGCGTTACATCCCTTCCCCTTTCCCTTCTAGTTTTTAATTATTTTTAACACTTATTATAATTAAAATAATTAAAATAAAAACACAAAATACAATAAAAATTTACTAAATTTAAATTAAATATTTCATTAAATCTAAATTAATACTATAACACCCCAACCCAAACACAGAAATTTTAAAATATTTAAATAAAAGTCAACATACCAAAAACGAATAATTTACTTGTCAAAGTTTTTCCAAAACAGCGTGAAAGCTTATTAAGTCATACCATGTCATTATAACAAATCAATTCATTAATTGCAAAGGATTCTGCATTCGGACATCCCCTTTTGTCTCTCGCTGTCCTGCGGAAGTAGCTCAAAAAATACCATCGTGCAATATAAGACAACAAAGAGTACACACTGAGCTAAAAGTTGAGTAAAAATATATATATAACACTAGAATCAATTCACAGAGTAGCACCATATCAGTATGGATCAGACAATGTCATGCAAGTCAGATATTATTGTCCATTTTTTACCAATTTATAGTTTGTATTTAGTGCTTTGTAATGGTTCATACTCTGCATCAATTAACAGGGTTTAGTAATCCTAATAATTCAACTTATTAGTTCTAAGGGTAACACTATTAGTTAGGGATGACATAAATGTTGGATTTTTTTTTGTTTTTTTCATCTTGTAGATGAAGTACTGCTTATTGAAAGTTTTGTTTGAGAGATTCAAAAGTGAAACAATCAACCAACTCAAAAGATCTACTAATCAATCAAGAACTGAAGCTTTGGGTTCTAGAGGTGGGCGGCTAGCGCTCGACGCAAGAAGCAAATTCGTGGGTGTATTATCTTATACACCCAGACCATCTCACCATTGCTCTTTTCCGGTCACGTAAGATTTATTTCAACCATTAACTATGTATACATTTTCCGCCCAACAAAACATTTCTTTTAACAAATTTAAGAGGAGCTAGTATATTTTGGTGTTGACTTTTTAAAAATTTCTTTGGATATGATAAGTAAAAGTAAATGTGATTGGTAGATTAGTAGTCAAAAAGTGTGATGTGATAGGTAGGTTAAGTACTGCTAAGGGTACACGTGATTTTTTAATAGATATGAGAAAAGTTTTAGGGACGGATATAAAAGAAAAGAGAAATGTTTCGTAGGACAGAGCGAGTATTTTACTCCATATAATATGACTTTTTTTTTAATTTAATTTAATAAAATTTAATATTGCTTGAGCAAGTATAGCTTTCAATATAATATGACAGGACTTTGGTGCGAACACTAAAACCAAAGATAGATGCAGAATCAAAGATGGATGCAGAACCAAAGATGGATGTAGCTCACGTGGATGAGCTTACTGAGCTAGTATGTACACTTAGCTTCTAACTTATGTGCTGCCCATTCTATTACACTTAGACGAGTCTCAAATTCTACTTTTACCCATCATATCCCGTGATATTTTTGGAAATTCAACACCAATATACACTCCCTATCACTTTAATCTATTAAAAATCAAAATTTTCCATGTTGTCTGATAC